GATCAGAACCTAGCCTAAAAATGAGCAAGCTAAAAATAGCAGCAGCACTGAAAACTGACCCAAGAGGATGACTTTAGAAGGGAGATCAGCCAAATTTTAATCTGGTGTGCTTGTATATATTCATGAGCCAATTCTTTTTTGATCGCACCTCTAATATAAAGGTTGCACAAGTCCATCCTTAATGCAGGAAGAGTCAGAGTGCTGTTACATTTAGATGTGGACATTGCATACATGTTTTGTTTTTTGTTTTTTTTGGTTTTGTTTTTTTTGGCTGTCTTTAAATGTTAAGTCAAATATTTATTTCTGTTGCATCAACTTGCAGAATGTAGTATTTTATGATAATAAGAAGAAGACGGCCACTCTTAGGTCATCAGCCAGTAAATTAGTTTTTAAGTTGTTCGAGTTTAAAAATGATCAAAATGCATCAGATTGCGTTAAAGTGCATTTTGTTCCAATTTTAAATGCCTTGGTAAAATGTTAGATTTTACCTTTTAAAAATCTAAGGCATGTCTGTCTGTCTAGGATTTCTCAGTGTAATTGTTGCGTTTTCTGTAGATTGTGAAACTTCTGCTTCGTCACGGCGGTAACGCTTTCCAAGCCAACAAGCGCGGCGAGCGCCCGGTGGATGTGGCAGACTCTCAGGAGCTGGAACAGCTATTAAAGGGAGAAGGGGCCGTGTCGGACCATGATGACAGCTCTTCAGGTGATTGTCCCTCCTGTGTAATATTTATGTTTTGTTTTTTTACTCCCCTGTCATCGACATCCAGTAATGTGTTGACTGTAAATGAAGTTTAAGTCTACTGTACTCCACAGAATCTGAAGACCCGCCATCTGTCAATCCATCCAGTGTCGATGACAACATGGAAGACTCTGATACTGAAAAGGACTCTGCCACGAAAGCATCGTCTTCCATGCCGGGGATGGATGAGTACGAATTTAAGGACGAGGAAGAGGAGGACAATCTCAGTAAAGCCCTGAATGACAGACACATCCTCAGGAGGGAGCTACGACAGCCGGAGAAGGAGGAAAAAGACAGGAATCACGTTGCAGTAAAGCAAAGCAACAAGGGGGATTCCTCATCAAAGTCCAAGAAGCAGAAGACGTCTCGTGTCCACTGCAGCTCGGATACCTCCAGCGACGAAACGGAGAGCCTCTCAGAGAAGAGAAGCTCCCCCACCTGCTCTCATAGCTCGGAGAATGTCAAGCCGGACACGAGGTCGAAAAAGGACAATACTGAGCAAAAGGACAAAGGTAAAGTTAAGAGGAAGAGCAAGAGCCAGAATAAAAACAAAGAAAACCAAGAAGATGGGAAAGAAAACAGCAAAACGCTAGTCCTCTCTCTGGCAACGGTGTCTGAAAGCACAGAGAAGGGCCGGGAGGAAGACTCTTTCAAGATGTCTTTCAGTCCCAAAGATGACTCATCCGTCCACCTCTTCCACTTGTCAGCCATCAAATCTCCTAAACTGAACCACAGCCTGACAGATAAACAGACACCACTCAAACAGGAAAATGCAAAGATGTGCGTTTCTATCACTGACAGCTCGTGTCCAGTGGACGGTGTCAAATACAACCACTACACAGACGCAGACTACTGCACTGAAGGCTCCAGCACGAAGGGGTGTAAGCACAAGGAAAAGAGCAAACATCAACAGAAAGACTCCAGTGTGGACGGCGACGACGGCCACTCGAGCCCCTACAAAGACGGCAGCATAGGAAACAGCATAGACAGCGAGGGTGCCTTACGGAAGACTGATTTGGACGGAAAAGTCGTGAAGAAGCATAAATTTAAACACAAAGAGAAAGACAAACACCGCAGGGAATATGAGGCAGAGCGGAGCCGCCAAAGGCAAAAGGAGGCCAGGAAAGACAGCCACAGGAATTTGGAATTTGACAGAGAGTTCTGGAAAGAAAATTTTTTCAAAAGTGATGAGACAGATGAACCTCTGCCAGTAAAAAAGGAAAGTGAAGACAACAGCTCGCTTCAGAAGACTGCTGATTCCTCTCCTGTGAAAGATGAGCGAAACCCAAAGGAGAAACACTCCGGCAGCAAGGAAAAGAGGCCAAGAGAGGAGCGAGAAAAAGACAAGAGCGTGAAAAAGGAGCGGAAGGAGGCGGCAGGAAGAGAAGAGAAGGTGAAGGATTCAAAGCTCAGCGAGCATGACGAAAAGGTGGACTGCCATGGCTCAGGGCGGATTCCTGAGGAGTCGCAGCAGAGCAACAGCATGAAAGAAGAGACAGAGGAGAAACCCATAAGTGGGATCACAGCTGATCAAGAACAGCTGGAGCCTGCAGAAAAAGGCTCACGCGAGAAAACTGACAAGAGGCTCCCAGGAAAGGAAAAGGACTCAGACAAAATGGAGAAAAGGCATCTTGACAAGGAAAAAAAGGTCAAAACAGAGCACTCTGACAAAACCGAACCACAGAACTCAGTGGATCGTTGGAAGGAAAAGGAGCGCGCGGGATCCATCTCTTCCGTTTCGCCTGGAGAGAAAAGCTACAAAGAAAACGAGAAGCTGAAATCTTTAACCACAACAAAAAAGCATGAAGACAGCAGGAAAAGTAAAGATAAGTTTGACAAACGGTCTGATAAGGAGAGGCAGGACAGAGACTATAATGCCGGGGATCACAGAGAAAAGGATCGCACAAGCTCTGATAGGAAAGGAAAACCTCTGGAGAAGACCACGGATCACAGTAAATCTGATCGCGCCAAAGAAAAGGACTTTGACAGGAAAAGAAGAGATAAAATAAAAGATGGAACGCTGTCCTCGACCTCCAATCTGAAATTACTTTTAGAGGAGAAGAAAAGCCATCTTTCTGAGAGCGGCAAGTCCTTATCTACAAAATCAAAGGAGGAAGCAGTGAGAACGCCGGAGAAGGATCGCGATAGGCGAGACCGTGACAAAGACTCGGATAGACACAAGGATAAAGAGCGACACAAAGACCGCTCCCAGCAGGCCAAAATCAGCAAGGCCAAATCCAGTGAGACGGAGGCAGACAAGGCCAAATTGAAAGCCCCGCCAGCAATACGAGACACCAAACCAAAAGAAAAGAGGCTTGTGAACGATGACCTGATGCAGACCAGCTTTGAGCGCATGCTCAGCATGAAGGATCAAGAGATTGAGCTGTGGCATCGGAAGCACCTAGAAAAACTCAAACAGAAAGAGCGGGAAAGGCTTAAACAGCGGCCTGTGGCAGATCCAGGGAAGTCCAAGCCTAAAGACAGAACAAAAACAGAACCATGCTTGAGTAAGGAGCTAACACGCTCAAAAAGCTCTGATACATCTGATGTCCACAGCAGAGATAAATCCCTGAAGGACGGCACTAGCCCCAGAACGGTGTCACTTGATGGGAAGAGTCTGCCCTCTATCAGCGCAAAGGTCATATCAGCCGTGGAAAACTGTCTGACGAGATCACCCCGTCCTGAGAATGACCGTTGTGGCATCATTTCCAGGTCTGTTTCTTTAGTCTCTGTTGCCAGCTCGGAGGATTCGTGCCAGGCAACGACATTAACTCCCAGAAATGCCGAATACGATTCTGACGTAAACATGGAAGCCTCAGACTCCCAGCCTGCATTTCTCCAGTCTTCCCTCGTCATTCAAGCTACAAGGTCGCCGTCTGTTCACGATAAAGACTGCAACAGTCTTCCAGATGTTTCACAAGGTAATCGAGTGATGTCCGGCAGGCATGAATCTCCTTACCTCAGGGCTATTCTGGATGAGGATGCCAACTCATCAACTGAAGGCAAAGCTGTTGAAAATCTGCCAAAATCCAACCTGACTGCGATCCCAGCAGAGGAGCCGAGAATGAAGGAGGCCTCAGAAACCGAGGAGAGCCTGAGTACACAACAAAATTCAAATTCAGTTACCGATTCAGTCACAGAGGGGGAAGGAAGCACTGCTGGATGCTCGACAACACAACTGTTAAATAAAGATCTTCCCAGTAAAAGCGTGACTCTTCCACAGTCCAGCAGCTCACAGTGCAGTAGTTCTCAAAGTGGGTCGGCGGAGCAGAAACCTCTTCCTCTATCTGAGCCTCCTGCTGTCCAAGACATCCAGTGTCAGATGGAGACTTCACAGGCAGAATGTGTTACTAAAGAATCTGATCAGCTGTCAGTACCTACAGCTTCTCAAGCTGCTGAGCTGTCAGCACTCACAAACACAAAGCTCTTCCAGCATAGAGAACCACTCCCGTCTTCTGGTATTGAGAATCAGCAGCAGGCCGAGTTGGTTACCACGGAGGTTTCTGACCAAAAAGACACACTCGTGGAGACCGCTCACGGAACAGAACCAGAAAATATGGAAACGGATGCAGAAAACTTGACAACAGAAGCGGCGGGGAGTCCCATACCGTCCACCAGCTCGCACATTCCCACCTCTGCTGCCAGAGAATCCTTAACGGGTTTCAGCAGATCCGATGAGTCCAGGTCTTCTCAAGAGGATGCCGATGCAAGTGGCCAAGACTGCAAGAAATCACAGCCTTCCAGCGACATCTCATGCCCATGTCTCGATGCTCTTACGGAAAAGGAAAGCATGTCCTGTTCGAGCCCTGAACACAAGACTGAAGGGACAGCAGATGTACCACAAAGCTCGCACAACAGCGGTGGTGGTGCTGCTGTCTCTTCTGCAACTGAGAGTTCATCCGTTGAAGGCAGCCTGAGTACAGACAGCTCACCTGAATCCAAAGCAGAGACCTCCTCGGAGCCCATGGAGGTCACACCTGCCGAGGAGAAACCAGAGTCGTCCTCAGCTCTAGAAGAGCAGAGCCAAAGCGCTGTCCAGTCAGCAGATCAAACTGACGTCAGCAGCAGCGCCTCAGGGAGTTCCTCTCCGCAATCCGGAGACCGGGAGTCCGACTCCTCAGGGGCGAAGCTCAAGATTCGCGCAGCAGACGAGGAAATGGACATTAACGTGCCCCATCCACGCAAGAGGAAGATGCCGAAGGTGTCGCTCTCCCAGCCGTGCTCCACCACTCAACAAGAGAGGGAACAGCAGTCGCTAGCGGCTATCGTTGACTCTGTAAAGCTGGAGGAGATCGAACCTTACCAGTCGGACAGGGCTAACCCATACTACGAGTTCCTGCACATCCGCAAGAAGATCGAGGAGAAGCGTAAAGTGTTGTGCAGCGTCGCCCCGCAGCCGCCGCAGTATTATGACGAATATGTGACCTTTAATGGCTCATACCTCCTAGACGGGAACCCACTCAGCAAACTCTGTATACCAACTGTGAGTCATCATTGTTATTATTGATTTGATTTGATTTTTTAGACAAAACTGCAGCAGGGATGATGTGCATACTCTTTTATGATTCAAAATGAAGCTAGTGACCATTTGACCTTTAGTGCAGAGAACGGAGCACAGTGATGGTTTGATCTCATTATCTTGGCTTCATAACATGATCCATAACTGCAGTTGAATATAAATTTACACTAATCAGGCGGCTCTAATTTATATATATTTCTGGGAAGAAAAATCATTTGCTCTCCCTTTCACTGCATGTCAAAGTTAACATTAAATTTCTGTCACATCCTCTATCCCTGTTTTTGGCTGTCGTGTTAATCCGGCACGTTGCACCGCTGCAGCTGTGTTGATGACAGTGGGGTCAGTCATAGATTATACAGGGGGAGGTTATACATTTTGAAGAGATGAGATTTTGTTGGAAAAATATTGAAAAGAGAATTAAATCTTATCAGTGAAACAGAAGAGTGACAAAAATAAGTCTAGTAGTCAGATGAGCTAATGGCAAGGCGAGCCATCCATCCGTCCACAACACAATCATTTATGTTTTCACCCAAACTGTGAGCACACCATTGATGTCTTGCTGTTAACTGCTCATTTATTAAGGCTCAGAGCCTTAAGCATTTCATCTCCCATGTTTACCAGGACAGCTGCTGCAAGCCAAAGTGTATTTTAGATCATATTAGAGGTCTATGTGCTGCTCGTGCTCAGTTTTCTGCATAGACGCACGGCATCACTGCTTCACACCGGTACTAAACTTTAAATGATAATATTTTCTCATCTCCCAGATGTCAAACTGCAGTCCTGACCAAGTTTGTAAAAATCTTTCTCCTTTTTAAACGGTTCGTTTGGACAGATAACTCCTCCTCCGTCATTACCTGAGCAGCTCAAAGAGATGTTCAAACAGCAGGAGGTGGTCCGCATGAAACTACGACTGCAACACAGCATTGAAAGGGTACGTGGTTCTGCTGTTGGAGCTTCGCATTGTTAAATGTCGTCTGTGTTATGCCTGCAGTTATATTAACCATGACTGTGTTTGGTGCTGTGCTACATGTGCTTTCTTTTTTTCTTCTTCTTCTTTTGCCTGTCCCGTTTGGCTCTTTTGCCATCAGAATT